TGGAGAACTCCCCCAATGTGGAAGACCTCCTGCCGGCTGATGCCCGTCACTTTTTGGAGGCTCCAGAGCGCATGGTGAATTCGAGTTCAGAGTTTGCTTGCGATATTGTTCCTTATTGGGACCCAGTTCTTCGCAGGAGTTCCCGGGAATATCGACACTTCATCCAGTATTTGGACAAGATCGGCTACCTGGACTACACGCAGACACCCCAGGAGCGTGCTGGAGTGTTTTTCGTACACAAGTCGGACAAAAAGAAAATTAGACTGATCATTGATGGCCGTCGGGCCAACGCCCGGCTAAAAGAACCTCCTGGCGTGAGTCTCGCCACCGCTGAGGCCTTCTCCCGCATCGAGATGGAGACCGCTGGCGAGGGCGAGCACCCAGGTGAGGTCCCAAACTTTGAGGAGGTTCGCGTACATGTGGGCTTGTCAGATGTCAAAGACTGTTTTCACCGGATGCGACAACCTAGGTGGTTGCGTGAGTTCTTCGCCTTGGACCCCATCCCAGCACGGTGGGTGGGCCGAGGCGGCACAGACCTGGAAGGAAACCGGCTCGAGCCTGACACTCTGATCTTCCCTATGCCCATGTCCCTGTGTATGGGTTGTTCGTGGTCGTTGTTCTTTGCCCAGAAGGCTAACGAGAACTTATTGCAGAGATCCAGATCCCTTGAGTCATCTAGGCCCGTCACCGACAGATCCGACCCGATTGTCATTCGTGTTGCGGACTCGGATGGCAGGCCCTCAACTTCATGTGATCGGCATTATGTGTACGTTGATAACCTGGGCATTATTTCCTCCGACGAGTCCAGGGTGCAATCTGGCTTAACTGAGGCCACTCAGCTCTTTGAAGGGCAAGGGCTTCTTCTACACGCGGGCGAGATTGAATCAGAGGAGATAAATACCCTAGGTTGTCGGCTTGACGGAAGACGACACTGCACAGGACTCAAGCGAGCCCGCTTCCACAAAGTCCGCCAGGCCCTGAAGGGTATCCTCAAGCGTGGGACCTGCACGGGACGGTTGCTTGAAGTACTAGTTGGGCACCTTACCTATTCGTTTCTGATCGCCAGGCCTTTGCTGTCAATCCTCCACCACACGTACCGCTACATCCAACGACACTATTATCAGAAGGCTCGACTATGGGATTCTGTACGTGAAGAGTTGGAAGCTGCAGTTGGGGGTTTGATCTTCTGCGAGGCCGATTGGTGCAGACCCTGGAATCGAGTGGTGGGGGCCTCAGATGCAAGTTTGTCCGGATATGGGGTCTGTACCTCCGAGTGGACGCTGGCCGACGTGCAGGCGGCCGGACGAGTCCCAGAACGAGAACGCTTCAGGAGGCGAGGTCCCCATTCAGCAAGGGAGTCAGCACTTGAGGAGGCACTCATATCCTCCGAAAAAGACTTCGACCCATCTCTACCTTTTGACCTCTCAGCAGGTTGGGATAGCAACGCTGCGTTCCCTGAGATCAAGGCGGCGCTCCTCGCAAAGGACAAATGGGAGGTCAAACTGATGGGAAGGTGGTCTTATTCTGAGGGGATCTTTGAGCTAGAAAGTTTGGCGCTCTTGAAGTCCCTGGTCCGTTTTTCCCGGACTCGCTTCGGAAGAGATGTCCGTCAGTTATTGTTGGTGGACAACATGTCGGTAGCTCTGGCTTTCAGCAGGTTCCGGTCCCGAAACTTTAGGGTTCTGAAGATCATCCGGAAGTTTGGTGCGTGGTGTCTTGGACGCAATGTCAGCGCCACTGTGAGGTGGATGCCTTCGGAACTAAACAGTGCCGACGGGCCTTCCCGCAATGGCGCCGAAGAGAAAGACTCGCACCCTCAGCCCACCTGGCCAGAGCACCTCCGCTCCCGCGAAGAAGGTCCGGGTGCTGAGTGGCGGGCAAACCGCGGCAGCTTCAAGGATGGAGAGAACGCTCCCAATGGGCGACCTGCGCTTGACTCTGTCGACGCCAAGACGTCTGGGCTTCACCCTTCCATCCACCGAGGCGGCCTTACTCGCAGTGCCTACCCTGGCGGCCAGGCCGGGGGGAGCAGAAAGTTCGTCCTCGAGCACCTCAGATCCCGACGACGATCCAAAGAATCAGACGCGGAAGGAAAGGCAGCGGATCCTAAAGGCCAGGGTGAAACATCGCCTACGGAAGTACCTCGACACCGCTTTCGAGAGCAAGAAGGCCGGCACCACGCTCTTGGAGTCCCAAGCGGTGTCTCCTGGAGTTCAGGGGTACTACAAGAAGGAACTGCACGACCTGCACATCTTCGTGAGGCAGAAGGGCTTGGACTTCACAACGGACGCCGACGTAGACCATGCCATCGTCGAGTACATGAACGCCTGCTTCTGGAAAGGGGGGCAGGCGCACAAGGGGGAGAAGGTCCTGGCGGCGCTAATGCACTTCAGGCCAGAGTTCGGAAGAACCGGGTCACGGAAGCTGCCCCGCTCATGGAGGGCCCTCAAAGGGTGGCGCAGGCTCACCCCAGCACGCAGCAGGCAGCCGCTTCCATTGGCAGTGTGGGCAGCCGTGTGCTGCGAGCTACGGCGTCGCGGTTTTACCAGGATGGCTGTGTTTGTGATGGTGGCTCTGAGTTCCTACGGCCGACCCGCCGAACTCTTTCGTTGCACAGCTTACTCTTTGGTGGCCCCGATGGGAAGCAAGGACCTTCATTGGAGCCTCCTGATGTCGCCAGAGCACCTAGGTCAGCCAGGCAAGACAGGCGAGTACGACACGAGTGTGATTTTGGACTCTTCGTACCTGCAACCTTGGTGCCGCGAAGTCTTCCCTTTGCTGAAGCACCGGCTTCCAACCATGCCGCTGTGGGATTTCGACTACGGCAGCTTCACCAAGGAGTTTCTCGCCGCGGCCGCCGCGCTCCGCCTTCGAATCTCGCCGTACCAGATGCGACATTCGGGCCCCAGCATCGATCGAGCTCGCAACTGGCGCAGCCAACTCGCTGTGCAGAGGCGCGGGGGATGGAAGAGTGCAAAGTCAGTCATGCGGTGCGAGAAGTCGGCCCGCCTGGGAGCCGCCTTCCAGGAGCTGCCGCTGGCCATGCGAGACCATTGCCGGTGGTGCGAAGAACATCTAGGGGATGTCGTCCTGGGCCGGCTGCTAGCAAAGCCCCCTCCATGATGCCCAAACACCGCCACAGGTACTTCCTCGACCTTTTTTCGGGCGCTGGAGGAGTTAGCAGAAGGTGGAGGGGGCTTGGTTTTCGCGCCTTCGAGTTTGAACTAGAGCACGGCCCAGAGAGTGACCTCACAAATCCTGCGATTTTGCGCAAAGTTTTGTCCTGCATTAAGGCAGGAGAAACCCTTGGGGGCATGCTTGCCCCGCCTTGCTTCAGCTTTTCAGTCGCAAAGGATCGCGCAGGTGTCACCCGAACCAGTCAGGCTCCATGGGGAGTGGACAGTCTCCCTACTGCCGAAAGGCAGAGACTTGCTGTCGGGAATGCATGTGCGCGATCTGCAATCAGGGTCATACGCGAGCTGGATCGGCTCCACCTTCCATGGTGCTTGGAAAACCCCGAGTCAAGCAAGCTTTGGTTTTTGCCCGCGCTGCAGCGCCTGCTTCGTATGTCCCATGTGCATGCTGTCACGATCGACTTTTGCCAATACGGATCTCCGTGGCGTAAAAGAACCAAGCTTGTTTTCGGCAACCTTGACCGGCAGGACACACTTCGCCTATGCCATCGTCGATGTGCAGGGCCCCCAGGTTGGTGCTCCAGGACTGGCCGCCGGCACGCACGCCTCTCAGGACGCGCGCCTGACGGGCGCCCTCGAACCGCCGTGGCCCAGCCCTACCCACCCCAGCTCTGCGCTGACTTGTCGTTCGTCTTGTCATCGCCATATTTGACTACTGATCCAACAACTTTGTGGTTCACATCCTGATTTGGGGGATGACTTGGGAGGTGTTGGGATCTCTTTGAGGGTTCTGAGCTTCTGGCCTCCTTCGAGAAGTTCCTCCCTTGCATGAAGGCAATGTTTGAGAGCTTCTACGGCTAGTCGCTCGCCGGCCCCCTCAAAGAGTTCGTCTTTGGAAGCATCTTACTTCTGTTCTCTTAGTGTCACCTCAGCAAGGACCCAGCCAAAGACTCGAGAGCTCCACCGCCACAAAAGGTGCGTTTGCAGGAAGTATGGAAGTATATATACGAGAATACTGGATGGAGCAGCACCGTGCGTTGGTCGCCCGGTCATGCTCAAGCTTCCCACCCAACCCGCCCGGAGGTGTTGGGATCTCTTTGAGGGTTCTGAGCTTCTGGCCTCCTTCGAGAAGTTCCTCCCTTGCATGAAGGCAATGTTTGAGAGCTTCTACGGCTAGTCGCTCGCCGGCCCCCTCAAAGAGTTCGTCTTTGGAAGCATCTTACTTCTGTTCTCTTAGTGTCACCTCAGCAAGGACCCAGCCAAAGACTCGAGAGCTCCACCGCCACAAAAGGTGCGTTTGCAGGAAGTGGATCACCTCAAACGGTTCCAACGTTTTTTTGTCGGCTGCATGACTTTCAGATAGCTAGTTGTTTGTGAGGCGATCTTGCCTCGAAGATTGTGGGGTTTCACAGTCCCGTAATACCCCCACGTTTTGCAAGTGCCAGGGGCACACTGTGAAGAGACTTTTGCTCTCGGGTACGTAGCAGGCTCGGCATAGCATGGCCTGCAGACCGAAACCAGCTGAGCTGAGGCTTTGCCAGCGTGATGACGAGCTATTTGAGTCAAAGGAGTACCTAATGAGTGAGCTCATACAGTGACTTGCCAGCCTCATGGTGATCCCGTGCTTCTTGTGTGATCCGATAGAGGCGTTAGGTAGGTAGCAGGTAGGGCCGGGGTGAGGGCTCGCCGGTACCTTGGCACCCTCTTCGGCCTTCGCATATTATATTAATGCAAATTAGGTGCAAATCTGTTGGTGTGGTTTTGTGTGGTTTTGCTGGCGTGGGCCTGGTCCCATTGCTGTACATCGCTACTGTATGTCTGCCCCCCCCCCCCCCCCGCCTTCAGGAAGAGGAAGGCGGGTCCGCAATGGCCCGGATGCCCTTCCAGAAGAGTTGTCAACCACTTTAAACTGAATGTGTCGCCCGATCGCCTTCAGTTCGGTGAACAGGGGCAGCCCAGGCGCCGCGCTCTCCAAGAAGAGTTGGAGCAGGAGCGCGAGGCCTGCAGCGGCGCTCGCTGCAGTATCGAGAAGCTGCAGAGGAGGTTGCTTACCTGCATCTGCCAGCATTTACCAACATGGCGGCTAGGCTTAAAAGCTTCCCAGATGCCGACACCACGGGCAAGCAGTGCCGCGAGTCGACTGCAGGTACAAAGATGCATGCCAGCAATGGGACCTAGCAACGGTGCAGGTGGAGCTGCACTGGCAACAGCTGCAAAGCATCGAGGCCAGAAACGACGAGTTGACGGTGCTGGCGTCAGCCCTGGAATCTGAGAAGGGAAGGCTGGAGCAGCAGCCGCTTGCCAATGCAATCTTGCGTACTGTCGGAATCTGCGACCACACCCTGCCATCTAGTTCCACCCAATACCTCTTGCTGCCCAATGTGGCCTATAGGGCCTCCTCATGACGGCTAATGCCACGAAATGCCTTCGGGATGTTGCGGGTTGAGACGGCCAAGTGCAAGACGGCTGGAATGCGCCCTCCGCAAGTCTAGCAGCCCGAGTAAGCCTTGCGTTGAAGTGACCAGACGCCCTGGCAGCACTGCGAGTTGGCTGAGGTGCAAGGAGGCCTACCAGCAGCGAGACCAAGCAAGAGAAGAAGCGGGGCTGCATCATCAGCATTGCCTCCAAGTTGTGACCGAAAACAAGAAGCTCATGGATTCTGTTGCAGCGCTGGAGACAGCAAATGAACGGCTCGCGCAGCAGCTGCCTGGATTTGGAAGAGGAGCTGCCGCGTCTTGCCATTCTTGCCATGTGCAAAAGTGTTCTCTTCTCAGGCTAAGCAAGCTCTCCAGCCAGCTGAGCGAGCTCTTGGATGCTGAGAGGCTTGCAGGAAAGTACATGTGATTGTAGCAAGACTGAGAAGGGAAGGCAGCAAGACGTCGTGTTGGCCACACCATGTGATGCTGCATTGGCCCAGATCTGGAGCTCCAGCGTTGGCGGAGGCCGGTTACGGCCGCGGATGTCCCTGCCTCCACAAATCCTGATGCCCATTATGCCTAAGCTTTGTGCACCGCGACTTTGTTTGCAGCTTCTGCCCCCCAGCTGCAGGAGTTGAGTGAGAGCGCGTGTGGGGCATCGGATGCCGAGATTCTGAACCCGTCATGCCTCATTTTGCCGCTTGGCCTACAGCTCTGAGCCAGGGCACCTGCAGCAACCTCTGTGCAAGTCCAGATAGTCCAGCTACTGGTAGCGAGCAAATCGTGAGGCCCAGTCTGTTGCAGTACCTAACCGCACCTCGCCTGAATTCGCGGTGTCTGCAATGATGTTCCTATACAGAGTTTCCCCTCAGGAAGAAGCGCCTGCATGTGCCCCAAGGTGGATGACCTTCTGGCGTGGCGCCTGACATCCCGGCAGACCGCGAGCCCTAGGGCAGGAAGCTTTGTGCATCTGCTTTGGCCCACACAATGTCGTGAGATGCTGCTCTGGGAAGGCTAGGATGTGCCTTCCGCCGCCTAAGGTCTTGATACATCACGTGGAGGAAATGGGTAGGCTCGATAGGCCCGGGTGAGTCCTAGCATCTTCTACGCATCCGCTGGCTGCATGTTGACATGCATGGGAGTCATTCACCACGGCTTTTGCTTCGCAGGTCCGAGTCGATTCTCGATTTTTCTGACAAATTGAGCCTTGCCGTTCGAGACCCTGATGCCTTCGATGCCGCTGGCCGTGAAGCTGACGCCGAGGAGGTGAAGTACTTTGAGTGCCTCTTGATCTGATGTGTTCTTTTTGCATGTGCCACACAAAGCAGGTCTGTTTGGTGAAAGGCATCGGTTCTTTTTCAATCTCAGGTCGGTGGTGGTGCATGTGTCTTGCGAAGGCAAAATGGACCCACTTCGCAGAAAGTGATGCCCGCCGCATTGTCTTCGCAAACCTTCGAGACTTGCTGGGGCGCTGCTCGGACGTGGATGAATCCGTGAGGACATCCGCGCACCACATTGTCCACAACTATGCGGCAGGTGGGCTGCATTGTGTGCAGCAAGTGATTGCGGAAGCCATGCTTGGCCTAATGGAGAACCTCCTGACAGAGTCCGCCGAAATCAGCGAAGAGGCCTCCACGAAGGTACAGCAGTGCTCAGGCAATCTTTCATGTGTTTTGCGTGCACTGGAGAAGCCTCAGCGTCAGAAGTGGGTGTCACTGCTGGTCAGAGTCCTACTTGGTCAGACATCATGTCCAAAGTGGTTGATCAACGACCTGAAGCTCCTTTGGCGAGCTGATGACGATCCTGGACGAAGCTACGCAGAAGCAGAGCAGCAGCTCACGCTGTTGTTAAAGAACGCCAGTGCAGACACGCGCTCCGATCTTTCTGACGTCCTATATTGCTGACGTCCGTCAAGCACAGCCAAATGCTCGACAAAAGATGTGAGTGCAGGTGGGGTTGTATAGCAGTGTTTCTGGGTTCTCCTGCTTCATTTGCAGTGTTATAGGAAGTACATGTTGGTCTGTTGTGGATTTTGTATCTGGGGATCTTGCAGGGTCCGCTGCACTTTTTGGCCCCTGCGTCGAGGTCTTTTGGTCTCTCTAAACGTGGCAGTGTAGGATCTTAAGGCTTGTTGGGGGGTGAAGGGGGATAAGGGACCCCTTATATGAACCCCAAATAATACTCAACATTGACCCCAAATCCGTAAACCCAAAACCCAGCACCCAAAATCCGTAAACCATTAAACCAACCCTGCCACTGAGCAGGTGAAGATCGAGAATGGGGTTGATCTAAACTATGGGCCCTTTTTGTGTACCCAAACCCTAAACCCTTCCCAGTTCCGAAGCCCCAAGCGCCCCAACAATCCCGCCCCCTAAACCCGCCTACCTGCACCGAATTCGAAGTTTACTTTCGTGCAGTTTGGAGAAGCAGTTCCATCCATAGGTACATGTCAAATATGACGGCGGCGGGCATTGTCTCAGCTTGGGTGGCATAGCCTGGTACGAGGAGTTCGGATTTAGGGTTTAGGGTTTAGGGGTTTAGGGTTTAGGGTTTAAGGGTTAAGGGTTTAGGGTTTAGGGTTTAGGGTTTAGGGTTTAGGGTTTAGGGTTTAGGGTTTAGGGTTTAGGGTATAAGGTTTAGGGTTTAGGGTTTAGGGTTTAGGGTTTAGGGTTTAGGGTTTGCCATGTGAGTGCGCCTAGACCCCCCCCATAAATGGAAGGGGGGTCGGCGCAGGAGCCGAAGTCCCACCCTCCCAACCCAGATTACAAACCTTGGCCGGGTTTAGGGTCATATGAGTCATATCTACCCCCCAACCCCCCTAGCAAAGGGGGCTATCTACCCCCCAACCCCCCTACCAAGAGGGGAGCACATTTCAAACCCTCAATTTCAGGCCCCAACCCTTCATTTAGGGTCCAAAGCCTCAATTTTAGAATGCCCTGGAATCGGGGGGGGAGGAGGGGCTACTTTAGTGTCCAAACCCTTAATTTAGGGTTAAAATCCTTAATGTAGGGACCAAAACCCTTAATTTTAAGGGCTCCAAATCCTTAATTGAAGGTCCGAAACCTAGGGTCCAAACCCTGTAATTTAGGGTCAAAATCCTTAATTCGGGCGCCTTAATTTAGGGTCCACACCCTTAATTTAGGGTTAAAATCCTTAATTTCGGGACCAAGACCCTAAATTCTAAGGGCTCTAAATCCTTAATTTAAGGTCCGAAACCCTTAAGTTAGGGTCCAAACCCTTTAATTTAGGGTCAAAATCCTTAATGGGCTGAAACCTGATAGGACCCACGAACCCGAATGCGGGATGCAGTAACCCATAACGCATATATAAAACGACATTAACGAAACGTCGGTGCGCGGGCGGAAAAGGAGCTTTTCGTTTCGCACGGTTCAAACGCAGCATTGCGCATGAAGTGCAGGAGCTTCGCCTGATAGCATGTGCAAGAATAGTTCATGATATACAAGCCTAACGCATGTCGTTGAAGATTTTTTCTTGCCCGTTCACTTCGCACTGCTCCAAACACTGTACAGAAGCATTGGACAGATGTGAGATGAGATCCAACAAATGTTCCTACGCGCTCAGCACGGCTGGCAAAGCCTGATTCAGAGTCGCAAGGAACGTTGTAGCAGATGCTCGCATCATGCTCCACAGGGTCTTGCCTTCGTCTACTCCAACGACGGATTCATCCGATCTGCGAATGCGGCGCACAGAAGTGAAAACATAACTGAAAGCACGCCTTCAATAAGGTCGAAGCCTGCGGATGATAGTCCACAATCCACAAGCACGTCCGCGGGCCAATGGTCGGTGCTCGAACAACAGCCTTCGGTCTTCACATCGCTCCGCGACGAATCCAAGGTCATACCTGGACACAGGATAAGTGAACAGTGCACTTCCCCAAAGTCGAGAGCTGTGTAAGTAGTACGCCAACGCTCGATACCGAAACGTTCCCCCCGAGTATTTCAATAAACTTCTGAGTAACCTCAAAGTCGCACTCAAATCACCCAAGGATCCATGTGACAGGCTTGCACTGGGCTGCACAAGCCTCGTCGGGCTCGAAGTTTCGAAGAGCTTTCAGGTAAAGGTTTCGCTCTGGGCGCCTTACTCGTCGGCCAGGGACTCGTAGAACTTTACGTCGTAAGTTATGTGGGTTTTGTTGTTGAAGCGAAGTCTTTTTCAGGTTTTCATTTACGATTGCGGGAGGGTTTAGTTTAGGGTTTAGGGTTTAGGGTTTAGGGTTTAGGGTTTAGGGTTTAGGGTTTAGGGTTTAGGGTTTAGGGTTTAGGGTTTAGGGTTTAGGGTTTAGGGTTTAGGGTTTAGGGTTTAGGGTTTAGGGTTTAGGGTGTAGCACGGGTCAGCTGTACGCAGTTGTGTGTAGACATGCCCACCCCAAGGCCACCCAAACACTACTTGCAGCGAAACAAACCAGAGCCAGCCGAATTAAAGCCAGCCCACATTCAAACACTTCTGCACTCAATGCTGTACTTCGGACCAGTATCCAATATGTGTCTTGATATTACGAAATTTGCTATAAAGATGCCTTGCTGCATGGTAACATCTAAGAAGCTGCCTTGGAAATAGAACCTCCTGTTGCTAGAAAGGAGCCTTATGGAAGTCATGCCTGAAGCTTGCGGGAGAAAATTCAGGTTTTGCGCAGGGGGACGTCTTCGGCCGGAGGGCCTTCTCATTGTTTCTGTTCCCTATGCTGGAGTGTCAAGGCTGCATGGCGAAAGACTTGCTGCTAGGAAGATGCCTTGTGAAAGGTATGTCTAAAAGCTTGCGAGAGAAAATTCAGGTTTTGCGCAGGGGGACGTCTTCGGCCAAAGGGCCTTCTCATTGTGTCTATTCTCTATGCCGGTGTGTGTCTAGAAGTTTGCGAGAGAAAAACTCAGGTTTTGCGCTGGGGGACGTCTTCGGCCGGAAGGCTATGCCGGAATGTCAAGGCTGCTTGGCGAAAGACCTGTTGCTAGAAGGGTGCCTTGTGAAAGTCACGTCAAGAAACTTGTAGCAAAAAAACAGGTTTTGCGCTGGGGGACGTCTTCGGCCGGATGGCCTTCTCATTGTTTCTATTCTCTATGCCGGTGTGTCTCTAGAAATTTGCGATAGAAAAATTCAGGTTTTGCGCTGGGGGACGTCTTCGGCCGGAGAGCCTTCTCATTGTTTGTATTCTTTAGAAATTTGCAGGAGAAAATCAGGTTTTGCGCAGGGGGACGTCTTCGGCCGGAGGGCCTTCTCATCGTTTCTAATCCTATGCCGGTGTGTGTCTAGAAGTTTGCGATAGAAAAATTCAGCGGCATGTCAAGGCTGCGTGGCGAAAGACCTGTTGAAAGGTGCCTTGTGAAAGTCACGTCTGGAAACTTGCAGGAAAATCAGGTTTTGCGCTGGGGGACGTCTTCGGCCGGAGGGCCTTCTCATTGTTTCTATTCTCTATGCCGGTGTGTGTCTAGAAGAAAAATTCAGGTTTTGCGCAGGGGCCTCCCAGAATTTGGCTCCAAAACTTCAGAGAGCCTTGAGGGCTTTCAACCTCCAAGAACCCTTCCAGGAGGTCTCAGGGTTCTCAAACGGGCCTCCCAGCTTCCTAAAAACCTTTCAGGGCCTTTCAGGCACCTCCCGGGGCCTCCCAGGGGCCTCCCAGGTTACCTCAGGGGCCTCCTAGGGGCCTCCCAGGACAGAGACACAAAAAACCCGTTAAAACGCCCCTGGTCCAGCAGACAGGCCGCTGTCGGGAGGCCTTCTAGAGGGTCCAAGGAGGCCTCTAGGGGACCCCAGGCCAGGTTAGAAAAAACACCTCCCGCAAGAAAAGTTTTTTTTTTTTGGCCCCTACGTCTGATATGTTCGATAAAATCGTCCGATTGAAAAAATTGTAGATTCTCAGGTATCCCCAAGCGACTTCTGCGCCCAAGAATACCAATTAGAAATCTCCATACGAGAAACTTGTGTTCGTGGAGAAAAGGGACATCTATAATAGATACTTTCGATAGAAAACACAAAGGGAAAGACGTGGGAAGCCAAGTCCCGGCGGCGTGCATTAAAAAGCCCACCACCACCCCCAATTTCCGGCGGGACTCAGCTTCCAATCGAAGGCAGACGAGAAAACAAAGAATCGAAAGTAACTCGCCGAATGTGAGACATTCAAATTTCCAACCGTTCTCGATTGAGGAACGTTCAGATTCAGCGCCCAAGCAGAACATGTTGTCGGCCTTTCATGAGAATATTTCCTGCGGAGGGGTCATCCTGGCGAGTCGCACACAATCCAATGCAACGTCCGATTAGGATGATCGGCGGATAAGCTCCCTTCAAATGATACGTCACAAGGTGCACATGTGCAGAAAGGTCTCCACCCCATCAGGGCCGCATATGTGCCCGCACTGGAGCGTGCGATGAGCCTGAATTGCCGCCTGCAAGCCTCGTTGCAAATCAAAGCTCAATCGTCCAAGGCATTCATGTAGTGAATCACCCCCCCTTCTCTTGTGTCGTTGGTCGACCAAAGAACAAATACTACTCAAGAGCGCATATCCTCCTTTTTCGAGCCCTCCTGTGCTCTCGAAAACGAGGGGTTCATATCCAAGATTCGCAGCAGTGCATCTATTAGCCAGAAGTTGATTCTGTCGTTTCCGTTCCGCATATCTCGTGGCACTAGGTACTTCTGCTTGGGTAGAGTCAGCCATCGAAGCCTGCTGATATGGAGATGTGACAGCAACATCGACGGCTATGCGAGGGAATTTGCGCCAAGAATTCTGGCGAACTCCAGGTGGAACAACCAATAGCGTATCAGCAGGTCGTGCCTGGGGATCATCAGACAACAGTCCTGTGGGTTCCAATTGTGGCTGGAGGGCAGCCAAATTCGCGTAACGATGGATCGTATTTCTCAAGGAGTTATGAATACCGTATTTACTTCCTTGTCGGA